CTTCTAGTTAACTGCACTGAACAGCACCATCATTGGTACCAGAGGAGGATAACATCAGATGTAAGGACTCCTCTAGGAGCAGGGACTCTTCTAAGAAGCCTTCAATGCATGCTCTGGTATTGTCTTTCTTGGGCCACTGCCACAACAAAAGCAAGGACTATGCTTTCATATCATCTCTGGTACCATTTGAGATTCCTGTGGAGCACTTCCCAGGCTCTCCAGTACTGATCAGTTTCCTTTCCCAGGAGGATTTAGTTGCTGTTGACACTGGAATATCTCTCTTTAACAGGTACTGAGAGGGATCTTTTGCCGGCACCATCACAACCTTTGGAGCCACAGCTCCCATTCTTGCTTCTGTATCCCACTCCTTTCCCTTATAAACCACCACAGTGGACTTTCTAGAACCCATGGGATAATTATACTGACCAGTGTTACATAGTGTCCTCCTGCAAAAGGCCTCATCCAGACCAACAGCAACTGGTCCTGCAGTACCCTCCCCACCAGGAGGACCACTTGGAGGAGCAAGAGCTAGTGGTTGGGGAGAAGACACCACCATCTGACAAGTCCTCCTCCTCCCCCAATGAGGCAGTTATCCCAACCCCCACCATCTTATGCAGATGATTGCAAGGCCTTTCAAGACCTGTTAAAAAGGGAGAGGAGTCACTCCAGATTCCCTGGGAGGAGATCCAGAAAGTACAACACTCTCTTTTGAACATTCTGTCTCCCAGGGCAAGGTTGCCTTTCGCATTAATGAGGCATTACTTTCACCATCCTGCACTGAATGGAAGACACCTACAACCATCGCACCCACTTGCAAGGGGGCTGACGGAAATATTATGTACTGTCCAAGGATTTGTAATAATTTTTTCTCACAACTCCCCTCCTCCTGCCAACTTCTTGGCAGTGGATGCTGTCAATGAAAGGAATCGAGAAGCTTGCTCCAAATCAACTCTCTTGGACAAAGAGCTTGAGTGTCTTTTAGGTCATAAGATCTATATGTCACTTGTTCTTCAGTTTAGGGTTGCAAACTATCAGGTCTTCATGGCAAAGTATGATTTCACAAATTATGGAAAATGTTCACATTTTATTTATCATTTTCCCCGAGACCACAGAGAGCAGTTTCTGGCCCTCTTTGTGGAAAGCCAGATGATCTAAAAAAATATTCTACAAACTTCCCTCAGCCAGCTTACACAGCCTTGTGTTCAATGGCAACTATCATCATGCATTGAGCCTCCTGGCTGCAAGCCTCTGTCTTCCCAAGGAAGTGCAGAATATGATGGAGGATCTTCCCTTTGAGAGGCCTAAGATCTTCAGTAATAACACTGATGATTACCTCCATTCTCTTAAAGATTCCAGGGCTACTCTGTGACCTCTTGAAATTTATACCTGCCCCATGCAAGACTACACCTTCAGTGCCTCCAGGCCTGGCTCAAGACTGTTTACACTCAAAGCTAGTACAATCTTTCCAAATGGCTGACCTTAATACCTCCCACCCCCCAAGAGTTCTCAACTCCCTCAACTGGTGGAAGGATCCTTGCAAGGTTTGTGTGGCAGTCCCCTTTTAATGTCCATCCCCATCAAGGGTCATCACCATGGGTGCCTCCCTGCTGGGTTGGGGTACCCATTTCCAAGATGTTACATCCCAGGACTGGACTCCCCATGAAGGGTGCCTCCAAATCAACATTCTCAGACTCAGAGCAACCACTCTGACAAAGTGATGCTGGACAACAGAGTGGCATTATACTGCATACATTGGCAAGTGGGAGAAAGATCAATCCTTGTGCACAGAGTCAATATAGGTGTAGAACTTGTGTATAGTTCATCACATAGACATGTCAAAGGCCTATGTGCCCGGCCTGCAGAACACCATAGCAGACTCCCTGAGCACTTTCACCAAAATCATTAGAAGAAACTCAGCTTCTCAGTCTTTCAGAGCATTTGTCAGTCCTGGGGCCTTCTGGAGACAGATCTCTTTGCAACACCATCCAATGTGAAGTGCCATTGACTCTGCTCAGGGGGAGGTTATGACCACAACTCAATGGGGGATGCTCTCCTCATCCCTTGGCCTCTTACCCTCTTATACACCTACCCTCCAACGCCCTTGATCCTCAAGGCTCTGAACAAACTAAAGCAAAAGAGAGAACAACAACCATAAGTTTATGGAAGAGATGGTATGATGGGATAACATGGTTTTGGTAATTAAATATTCATGCTAAATAGGCCCAATGGCCTGTGATGGGATATTAGATAGGGTGAGATCTGAGTTACCCAGGAAAGAATTTTCTGTAGTATCTGGCTGGTGAATCTTGCCCATATGCTCAGGGTTTAGCTGATCGCCATATTTGGGGTCGGGAAGGAATTTTCCTCCAGGGCAGATTGGAAGAGGCCCTGGAGGTTTTTCGCCTTCCTCTGTAGCATGGGGCATGGGTCACTTGCTGGAGGATTCTCTGCTCCTTGAAGTCTTTAAACCACGATTTGAGGACTTCAATAGCTCAGACATAGGTGAGAGGTTTTTCACAGGAGTGGTGGGTGAAATTCTGTGGCCTGAGTTGTGTAGGAGGTCAGACTAGATGATCATAATGGTCCCTTCTGAGCTAAATATCTATGAATCTATTCTGATAGCACCATCATGACTGAAGCAAGTGTGGTTCCCCATTTTACTTCATCTCTATCTGCAGGCATATTTCACTTTCCACTGATGGTAGGTCCCCTGACACAGGAACCAGGCACCAAGACCCTCCCTGAACATCTCTTCACTGTGCCTCAAGGCTTAATTCCTTGATGGATCTCGGGCATAGAACTGGACTGTTCTCCCAAAGTTAAGACTATACTTCTGAGCATTAGAAAACCCATCAGAAGGAAAATCTACCCATAAAAGTGGGAGTGTTTCCAACCCTGGTGTACTCATCAATCTGTATCCCCCTCCAAGTCACTCCTTACAACCATGCTCAATTACCCACTTTAGTTTAATTTTAAAATGCAAGGTTTGACACTCAATTCCATTAGGTCCACCTAACTGCCAATACAGCCTTATACCTACTAGTTGAAGGGTTGTCTGTTTTCAATCACCTAGCACAGTGAGGTTCCTTAAGGGCTTATGTAACCTCTTTCCCTATGACAAGTAGCCCTACTCCTCCTTGGGACCTTAGCCTATTTCTCAGTGCCCTGAGATATCCTCCATTTGAATCCATGGGCAGCTGTTCATTCCTTCATTTGTTTTCTAAGACTACATTCCTCATAGCCATAACCTTGGCCAGAAGGGTAGAAGGGTAGAAGAGCTAGGGCCACTTGTGGCTGACTGCCTGTACACAATTTTCTACCATGTTAAAGTAGCTTATACTCCCATCCTCACTTCCTGCCTAAAGTCTGATCAGAATTCCATATCAATCAAGTCATTCAACTAGCAGTATTCTACCCTGAACCTTACTCCTCAAGAGAAGTGGCTAGTCTTCATAATCTGGCTGAGAGACGGGCTCTTACCTTCTACCTTAATAGAATGGAACCATTCCAGGCCTTTCAAATACTCTTTACCTCCTTCACAGAAAGGATGAAGGGGCATCCAATTTTTACTCAAAGGCTATCAAAATGGGTTTCATGATGTATCTCAGCTAGTTATGAAGCTTCCAGTGTGCATCCCCAACCTTGAGTGACTGCCCATTCCACAAGAACTCAATCTACCTCTTAAGGACATCACCATCACGGACATTTGTAGGGCCACCACCAGGTCATCCATTCACACATTCTCCAAGCATTACAGTGTTGTATCTGCTTCCAGGGGAGATATGACTTTCGGTGATGCTATTCTCTGAGCTGTACTGTATCTGTCTCCTTAACACCCACTTCCTAATAGAAATACTGCCTGAGAGTCTTCTAAGGTGGAACTATAACTCAAAAAAGTCTCCTAAGATGGAACTATAACTCAAAAAGAAGAAGAAGAAGAAGAAGAAGAGGTTACTCATTTGTACAGTAACTGGAGTTCAAGATGTTTTGTTCCTATGGGTGCTCCACCACCCAACCTCATTCCCCTCTGATGTGAAGTCTTACTTCGACTTTATTGTTGGAAAGGAACTGGAATTGTGGCCTGCCTTCCCTCTATACCCTCACACTGGAGCATGAGCCTGTGTTCTGTGCAGGCACAGCTAACTAAAAGCTCTGATCAAGTGTGTAAGGGCATGTGCACATGCTAAGTTGGAGCACCAAAGCATCTCAGAGAACTCCAGTTACTGTACAGGTAAGTAACTTCTCCTTCTCCAGTAGCAACACCCACCTCCCTTTGTTCATTCTTTCTACACCAAAGCTGCATAAATATCGGATATTTCTGATTCTTACATTAACTTCCGGTACAGCTTTTTCACCAACACAGGCCCAGCATGTTTCAGAAAGGATTCATTCAAAAAATATTGAGTACTTATGAACACAATACATTTTCTGTGCAACTAGTTAGTATGTCAAAAGCTTTCTGCTGTAGCTGTTTTATTTAGTTAGTGCCAGATTGTGAATATTTTACTCATCCGATAGTCCCATTGAAATGAATGTGACCATTTGAGGAGTAAGGTTCTCAACACATGAGTAAGGATGTCAGAGTGTTGCCCTTATTTATTTATAAAATTATAATATCATCCACTTTCTCACGATACTGGTTACTGCAATCACAGCCAAAATAGGGTTTTTTTAAACATAACTCCATGTCATAAAAAACAAGATGCTGTTAAATATAGTCGAGGGAGTCAGTTAAAAAGCCTGACTCAATGGTTAAGTCTTTTGCTGCATTGTAGAAGTCAGGCTCTGGTGTTCTAGAGGTATGAACCTTCCTCTGAGAATCGCATGCCACAAGTCCTGGAGAGTCAAGTCAAATCAACCCCAGGAATAAACAAGAGTAACTGAGCAGAGTGGAATTAGATATTGCTCAAATAACAGGGAGATTCTGTAGAGGAAATGATATTCAATAATCAGAAGAGCTGTTGTCTTTAATGTGTTATCTTGTTTTTGTGGGGGTGTAGGAACGTGTTCCAGACAGCCCTTCTCCTGCTCCTTCCCTTGAAGAAGGTCGAAGACCTGGCAGCCATCCATCATCTCATCGAAGCAGCAGTGTGTCCAGCTCACCTGCACGGACTGAGAGCTCATCAGACAGAATCCGTAGGTCACATTCTTCTCCTTGTCACCATTTTAAATTTGATTAAGTTAAGCTATTTTTTTCTAACCAAAATACCTTAAGTCTAAGTAGATCTAGATGTACCATGTTCCGAAGTTCAGCTGCAATAGCTATCGCCCAACATTAAATTCCCCAGTTTACAGTACCATAATGTATGATGCTTCATTAATAGGTACTGATGAAAACTGCCATTATGTCATATTAAGCATAAAGATATAAGCTATGAAACAGAATTGCAGCGAGAAAGCAATTTGCTAGACTAATTTCAGAACTGAACACATACAAACTGTGACACATTTATGTATTTTACAGTTTTATTTAATTCTGCTACCCTAGTTGGACTTCTATATTAAAACTGACTTCAGAAGTGACATTTTATGGGATAGTTCAATTTAAAAAAAATAATTCTAGGTGAAATACTTTTTTTAAAAAAATCTGCACACACATTAGGGTGGGGAATGTGATACAAGTAATATTTTGACTTCAGAACTCACAAGGGATAGAATCAAATTAAACTGAAATTTCATGAATTTTTTGTGAAGATTCCATGTCTAAGATTTGTGCATCCCTGGAATCTTAGGTACTCCAATGCAGTAGCCTGGAAATTGAAGGTTTTAGACCATATTATTTTATGCATATTAAATTCAATTTATTTTACCCTGTCCACACCTTTTCATCTTTTTTTGCTAGGTTGCAGACTTTTGTACTAACAACACAGCACTGCATTTCTGAAGTTGTCAGTTGGTGAAACCAAAGGTTTTGGTCCCTTAATAAGAGGCAGTTGAGACTTTTAGCTCCTGTGTAAACATAGGGAGGCATTTTGGGATTCTAGTTAGATAAACACATTGGATGGATGTTTCAGGCTTTCTGCAGACTCAAGAAGGTAACACTATATTGGTTTAGACTTGAATAATATTGTAAAGATTATTTTCATAACCATGAGTAACAAAAACAGTTTTAAAAAATGAAATCTTAGATTGTAGGGCAACATATTACAACAATGCCTGGATTCTGTAGTAAATTCCGTAATCACAGAATAGCAGCTGAGGTCAGAAGCTCTCCATATTGTCCCTGGATCTGGGTAATAGAGTTCCTCAGCCAATGCAGACATTTTTTTTAAATTTTAAAATAAAACACCTAGGCCTGTTCCACTTGCCATACCACATCCCATTTCTAATAACTGCTTCTCCATGTGTGGTACCTGCAGGGGCAAGATGGCTGCTTGACAAATAGGGATCAAATCCAAGAAAGGAGTGGAGAGCTAATCTACAGGAGTTCCCTGAACCTCATTCTTAGGTTATTTGTTTTTGCCATTGCTTTGTGGGCTAGTTTTTCTCAGAATGTGTCAGCCTCTTGCCCAACTGGCTTTTATATGGGATTCTGGCTTTTGTGCCTCAGAAGGCTGGGTTTAAGGGGCCGGCTGAATGGAGACAATAGAAATTAGATATGGAAAGGACCTACCAGACTAGCTTCCTCTGAGTGGATTTAATATCACTAATTAAATGACATTGAGGTTATTAGTTTTCTTGTACAATTGCAACAGTATCTAAAAAAATAGCGACATGAGTAATATTGTTAACATTATTTTAATTTTGTGTATGTGTGTTAATATTGTTGTTGGTTTTATGTCTATGTGTGTATGACTAGCAGCTGTACATCAGAATGGGCTATCCATGAATCAGATGCTTATGGGTTTATCACCTAATATCCTACCTGGCCCGAAAGAAGGTGATCTGGCTGGTCATGAGGTTGGACATGAGACTAAAAGAATACATATTGAGAAAGGTAACATACATTGTATGCTCTTATGGATTTTATGTCCTTATGATATCATATATGTGTATATATATATGAATGAGACCCTCTTCTCAGTAGCTGCATGATATTTATTATTCATTATTATTATTATTGATGTTGTGGCATAAGTGAGACCCTAAATGGCTTTTCTGTCTCTTCTCCTATTTTATAGTCTAGTAAGGAGTATATTGTTGAATAATAGCTATAAAGAGAAAAACTAAATAAATATTACATAGAAGGATAGATATAAAAAGTGTAGGCCTGAACTATTTCCTCATGATCTAGGTAAATGACTGCACTATTATATGCAGTATTGTTGTAGCCATGTTGATGCCAGGCTATTAGAGAGACAAGGTGGGTAAGGTAATATCTTTTATTGGACCAAACTCTGTTGGTGAGACAAGCTTTTGAGCTCACACAGAACTCTTATACTTCTTCTACAGGGTGCTTGTATTTAGCAGTGATACTCTGAGTTAGTTTCCCAGACCTGAAGAAGAGCTCTGCACTTTTCATAATATTTTCATGAGAGATAACAATGATTTTAGATAATTGTTTCATCTGTAATCCTCCAACAAAAAACATCAGTTGCTAAAAATCATTCTCTATGTGATTGACTTTGATGAGCTGATTTTCAGAAGTGCTGAGCACCATGGATATTGGGCCATGCATTGGGAAAAAGGCAAGAGTAATACACAGCTGCAACAATACCCAACAGCATAAAATGAGACTGCTGCATATTAAGTACTTTATTGTCAATTTAATTGACTATCTGACTTCAAATGTATGAGTTAGATTAATGGTCTATTAGTGTTTCGATTAATTGTAGTATCATTTCATCATGTTGTGTGTACAAACGTGTTACATTCCATGTATACTCGAAATATTAACTGAATTCTTCAGTATTTATATTTCATATGGAATTTTTACTTAAACTACACATAAACATTGAGCAAGCTTTATAGAGCTGGAAAATGGTATCAGTGGAAGAGGAGTTAGAAATAGGAGGTGTTTCCCTTAGTAAAAAAATTCTCTGGGAAAGGTGAGTCAGAAGAAATTGGCTCTTTGGGACAGGTACAAAATGTAAGAGCCAGTCACTTTAATACAGCTGGATAGAATGCCTGGAACAGTAATAGCTGTAAGAGCTTACCTTTTCTGTCCCATGTCTGAACAGTGAGATATGAAAAGAGAATTAAAATCTGGACACTTCTATTCTGGACAGGTGGCATCTTTAATAAAATTACCCTAAAAATAATGGAAACAACATTTCTTTTATATAAACCATTAATTTTGGTTCATTACACTCACAACCTGTATTAGCTTCTTATATGCCCCACTTAGCACCTACAAATGGTATCCCTGCTGAGGAGTATGATGTGATCAAATAGTCTTTTTTAAATTTCAGTAAATGTTTCAATTTTAGCCCACTGACATCGCACATTTTCCCTGTGTAGTCAGCCTGGTAAATCTAGCAAACAGCAGCAAATATTGGGAATTGTTACCATTTGTCCTATAAAAAAATTAAAACAACAGGAACATGACTTTTGTTTCTAATGGTTCCCCAAATGTGTTTCCCCATGCGGCCACCAGTTCAGCTTGCCTATAAAATTTGTTCTTATTGAAACTGCTGAAGATTCTCTTTCTTCAACAGTCATTGTTTAGGTCAAAGCTTCTGTTTTTCCTTTTCTTTCTCTCTCTCTCTCTGTTCCAGCCTACTGAATTAATGGTAAATATTCATGGGCTATCTAGATTGATAGGGCATACTAAATTAAAAATTGTTTTCTGTCATGACCACATTTATCATATCTCTCATACCAGCTCTCTAACTTTTATACTAAACTTATCTGTATTAAAACAAGTGATTCCATTCACAGATATTTGTGGAGATGGTAATTATCGGTTAGTGTCGCTATGGCCCTGACATTCAGATCTGCAGCTTGCTGCTACCACCTCTAATCTGTCAAAATGCAATTATATATATATATATATATATATATATATACACACACACACACACACACACACACACACATAGCATGGAAATACTCAGGCATTGTCTGAATCTGCCTTGTCCTTGTCACCTGACTTTAAAAAAAATCGTGAGTTTTGAACATGAGACATTAAGAATTTATGCATTACTCTGTTTTCTTCTGAGACATATTTATGTCAATCCATCAGTTGGAACTAGAATGACTTTTAATTACAGCTGTGAGAACTTGGGAAATCCCACTTGGTGAAGAAGCCTATGTTTCTTTTCTTCTTCTCCCTCCCCCAATTTTTTTAAACCAAAAAGCTCTCCAAGGTCCTGAGCTTAGGGAGAAATTAATTAAAATCAATGGGAAATTTAAACATGAGAAAAAGTTAGGGCAATGAAATCTAATAAAGACACTATTTTAAGAAGGTCCAAGAGAAGCCAGAAGGGGCCAATTATGATTGATTCAAATGATGGGCTTGGTCAAGGAGAGAGAACGTCATGTATCTTGGGCAATATATGGAGCTATTCTAGCCACTCTCTACAGTACAGTATAGCATAATAATTATAGATTTAGTGTATATGTAGCTGCATTTTGCTTGTTGTTAATAGACAGCAGAACAAACAAAGGAAGTATTTCTTCACACAATGCACAATCAACCTGTGGAACTCATTGCCAGGGGATGTTGTAAAAGCAAAAACTATATCTGGATTCAAAAAAGAATAAATTTGTTCATGGAGGATAGGTTCATCAATAGCTATTAGCCACGATAGTCAAGGATGCAACCCCATGCTCTGGGTGTCCCTAAACCTCTCACTACCAGATGCTGGGACTGGATGACAGGAGATGGATAACTTGATGATTGTCCTGTTCAATTCATTCCCCTTGAAGTATCTGGCATTGGTCACTGTCAGAAGACAGGATGATGGGCTAGATGGACTGTTGGTCTGGACCTAGTGTGGCCATTCTTATGCTCTAATTGCCCTTTCAGAATATTGTTATCCATCTGAATTACTTTATATAATTGGCTTAATTGATTCTATTGTTGTCTACTTTTAAAGTCCAGTCTCTCTTAGGGCCTGATTTTGCAAAGGGCTGACTGACCTCAACTCCCATTGAAGTCAATCTACCATTAGAATAATGGGAGTAGGGCTGGACTCCATTGGCTTAATCCATAGCCCATGAATATGAGTGGAAAGATTACCATTGGTTTCAGCGGACCATGGATCAGGCCCTAGATCAATACTTCTTGCAGCAAAAAAAGGAGAATAACCTGTTCTCCAAAAAACTATTATGTGCACCTTTAAGAAAATCTGTAAGTCTACATTTTCAGTGTCCATGCTTGCTCATCAGAGGGTAACAAATTTTCCAACTACACTGAAAATGTACTGCAAAATTGCAAATGATCCTGGGAAGGAGGTTAGCTGAAGTGTCTGACAGCAGTTATCATTAAGACAAGTTGTCTTTATTTCAGCAGCCTGTAAATTAGGAATCCTGTCGTGATGCATATTTTTTTTTTAAAAAATATTTAAATAGGATTACACAAAAAAATCAGTATTATGAAGTGGTAGAGTTGTGTGTTAGATAATGTTGTCAAGAACAGTTCAGTTCTTTTCAACTCAGTGCTAAAGCTAAGACTAGGAGCTGCTGCAAGTAATAAAAAAAGTGACCATAGGGGCACAAGAGTTGGTTCTCGATAATCCCACATATTTTGCTGAGATACTGTGGTTACTAGGACATCAGATTAGAACCTTCTTCTGTCTGCACATACTTATAATTTTAGATTGAAACCAATCTTAGGTGAAGCTTGAATGTCATTCTTACGTTTTAAATTGAATAAGTTATTTGAGGTGTTATAGAAAGGGCACTCTCCTTTTGAAAACGGTGTATGCTGTTTTCAGTTTCTGTAATGAACTGTTTACTGCCTTTACAACAAAAGCTAAACTAGCCTTTTCCGAAATTTATTTTAACTCTGGTATTAATGGAAATACACCAGAAGTTCTCAAATTTTTGTATTGGCGACCCCTTTCACACAGCAAACCTCTGAGTGCGACCCCCCCTTATAATTTAAAAACACCTTTTAAAATATATTTAACACTATTATAAATGATGGAGGCGAAGCAGGGTTTGTGGGTGGAGGCTGATAGCTTGTGACCCCTCATGTAATAACCTTGCGACCCCCTGAGGGGTCACAACCCCAGTTTGAGAACCCCTGATCTACACTAATCTCCTTTAAAATGCCATAGTACCTGCATTTGAGATATAACTCTCTGATAACCCCAATAATTTTCTCTTATTTCATACAAATATATTATATTTTATGCCCCTCGGGACATGACCAGTCCCAGATAGCCAGCCGGTACATGTCCTAGAGTTATGACTACTTAGCCTGGAAAATAAAAAAAAAATAAATTATTTCAAAAAGCGAACACTGCAGAGTGAACAACAGAACCTAATTTAAATATTCTGATGATTTGACTAGAAATACATCTAGCATATTCACCGTTACCCTCAACCCCCAAAAGAGCAAATAAATGTTTGTTATAAAAGTTAAGGACAAAGAAACAGTTTTGGCATCACTGTGCATTCTCATTTACTGGAACCATCTCCCACCCAAGTCAGAAACCACACGCTCAAGAACATACATTACCTCTTGGCTTACATAGAATTTTAGTTAGTTATCCAAGAAAACTCTTTTTATGGAAGGAGTCTTGAACAGTTGGGATGCATTTGCATTCATAAACCTTTCACTTGTTAAATTATGCTTACACAAAAATTAATCTCTCCATTTTCATCTATGTACAGTAAGTCCTTGCTTAACGTTGTACTTATGTTCCTGAAAAATGCAACTTTAAGCAAAACGATGTTAAGTGAATCCAATTTCCCCATAAGAATTAATGTAAATGCGGGAGGTTAGGTTCCAGGGATTTTTTTTTCACCAGACAAAAAACTATATTATATATATACACACACACAGTATAAGTTTTAAACAAACAATTTAATACTGGTACACAGCAA